TAGAACTATTTCGTTTCTAATTTTTACTAGTTTAAAAAATATAAACAAGGACTTTAAATTTAGCTTTATTTATTTTAGTTTACGCATTTGTTCGCCTCTTTACAGACCCCTCTAACCGCCCTCCTTGACTCTGTCGTGTTCATCCGCATGAGGTATGTATTTTTCTTAATTTTAGCTTGTTTTTTGTCCAGCTCGAACCCTTTAGATCCGAAGATTCAGCGTGCTAAGGCGAAAGAGAAGAAAATTGATGGTAATGAAAATAAGTCTGGTAAATCCACGCCTATGGAAGTAGATAAGTCAAAGGTTGCCGTTACGGCACAAATTAGTAGCGGGCATAAGGCTCTCAGCGCATCCAGCGTTGTAGACGCACCAAAGCGCACAGATAAAATTGAAGTCAGCACACCGCCTAATAAGAAGACTGGTTTATCAAAGATCATTACTGAGCCTAAGAGCGTCAAAGACGTAGCTAAGCCTATTATTCAGCCTAAGGGAGCTATAAATATTAAAATAGGAGCTGCAAACGCACCAAGTGCAATTGGCGATGCTCCTAAAGCAGTTGTCAGTAAACCGGAAGCGACGAAGAATGCTGCCAAGGTCCCTCAGAAACCTGAGCGAGTGGCATATAGAGACAAAATTCGGGCTAGAAAGCGTAAGACGCTCCTCACAAAGGCCGTCCTTAAGCGGCAAAAATATCTTCGTACTAAGCAATTGATGATGAAGCGCGCCCAGAAGTATTTGCATGTGAGTCCTCTTTTGTTAATTATGCTCTAGGAGTATCGCAAAGACGAACGAAGAATCATCAATTTAAAGAGAGCTGCCAAGAAAGCTGGAAATTTCTACGTTCCCGATGAACCCCGTTTTGCTGTTATTATTAGAATTAGGGGTATCAATGGTCTTCATCCCAAGCCACGTAAAGTGCTACAACTTTTTCGTCTTCGTCAGATAAATAACGCGTGTTTCCTCAAGCTCAATAAAGCATCTCTGAATATGCTTCGTCTGATCGATCCTTATGTCGCATGGGGCTACCCCTCCTTGAAGTTGATCCGCAAAATGATTTATAAGCGTGGATTTTGCAAAGTTGCGGGTTCGCGTCTTCCATTAACTAATGAACGTATTCAGCGAAAACTCGGAAAATATGGTCTAATCTGTGTCGAGGATCTCGTTCATGAAATTTTTACAGTTGGCCCTCACTTTAAACGAGTGAATTCATTTTTGTGGCCATTCAAGCTTAACAATCCCACTGGCGGGTGGCGGAAGAAAGGCAAGCATTTCGTCGAAGGAGGCGACTTCGGAAATAGGGAAAATTACATCAATCGTTTGATGGAAACAATGGTCTAATAAATTTTTTTTATAGTGGTCTTTATGTCTTATTACATAGCCTGTCCTTCCTTTGTATATCCATGATTAAGGCCATGTCGCTTCTCGTTGCTTATATTTTTCTTGAATCGAGATGATTTTCTCATATCATTCTATTCTTAGGCGATTAAGTGGTTCCCAGTCATCAACTTCTACTTACGTACTATAAGGTTATTCTATCGGAGATCTTCACCGTTTGTGGCATTGAGGTCCTGAGGCCTACACATTTTCGATCTTCGACATTACTTAGATATCTTATCATGTGCTGTGATTGTTTCTGTATTAACTGACTTGTTGATATTTCCTTGTGGCTTTATACTTTTCTTGTTAGGTGTAACGGTGCTTCTAGGTAAAACTGATTTCAAATGTTTACTTTTCTTTCTAAGTGTTACTGTGCTCTGAAGAAGCGAATGAGGTTTATTTGTGCTGGCATACTCTTAATTTCCCTTGAAACAAATGGAAGGAATTTGTAAATC